TGATTTGCACCGGGTGTCCGAGTCTCTTTGAGCCCCGACTAATCCCGGGGGTGCACAGGCCCTCGGCAAGGAGTTTCCCGCAAGTGCACCACGGTTAATTCAGGTTTTACCCAGTCCGATGGCCCTCAGAAATTGGTTCCAGGCATCATATCAAGATTCATGACCATCTCTCTCTATTTTTGTAATATAGTGACCATATGTTCCTCGATTGTCCCACAATTCACAAGATACAGACATATTGGCCTTAAAATTAGGGAGTTAGGAGGATCTGAACATTGAAATCTCTTGTATTACCATGCTTTAATTTGTTGCATTTAAACAAGCAGTATAAAATTTTATGAAACAACATTCACCAAAAAGCAGTTCCAACACCATATGACTAGCTAAAGCATTTTGTCCATGAAAACTTCCAATATTGCTAGTCTTATACCGCCCGGTCTCATCACATTTGCATCCTAAAGTGTCAACTAATGAAGTAGTCTTTAAGGCAAGAAATGTATTAAAACTTAAGAATTGGCTAACTTGAGTGAAGCCATCAAACATTAACTCACTCAATATTGATCTTGGTGAATGTATTTACTCATGGACCAAGCATATCTTAACCCGGAAATAGAATGATCTTGCGTTCATCATAAACCCATTTACTAGAGCTCATAATTGATCCCAACAACAAGGTTTTAAGCGGCACACATAAATACTATGGGCGTGTTTGGATTGGCTTCTTTTTAAGTAGCTAAAAGCTAAAAGTCATAAATTGGGAATACCCAACTTTTGGCTTTTTGCTTAGTTTTATACTTTTTCAGCGGTGCTTAAAAGCACTTTTTGCCTTACCCAAACACCTCCAAAAATAAAAGAGTGCTTAAAAGCCAAAAGCTACTTAAAATATGTCAATCAAAACACTCAATATGTCAGTATGCATGTCCACTATTATATATAGATCACTTTGATTCTCCAAACATGTGTTTGGGCTTTGCCTGTTCCCACTTAGCAAACTATAGAAACACTGAAATATTTCCAACCAGTTATAAATTTCCAACAATGCAGCCTTATAAATGACCCAAAACTAAACTAAATAAGCAAAATTAATTTTAATGACGACACCCACTAAATTGTTAGTTCAACTAATCTCCCGCTATTATCAACAATTCAAAAATTCAAATTTGTATACTGTTTTGGTATGAACAACTACTCCTAATTTAATTTGGTAGAAAGATATCAATCCTATCACGAACTAATCAACCTAAACTTGACAATGACATCCACGTGTTTCAAAGAGAAGTCAAATTCAACCTAAATTTAAACTACTCCTAATAGATATTATCCATATGCAGCGAGCGGGAGTAGGTGTGCTTCCTAACTTTATACATAAAAAAGGGACAGCTCGGTGAACCGAAGCTCCAGCATAGCTATGCACAGGTCCGGAGAAGGGCCGAACCACAAGGATCTATGGTACGTAGCCTTAACCTGCAGAATTTCTGCAAGAGGCTGTTTCACTGCTTGAACTGTGCCTGCTCCACATATTTTTACCAACTCCACACCCTTCAGATAAGTATAATGGGTAAGAGCTGTAGTACTCTGCACTGACAAGCTTAAACATCTCGAATGAATCCGAACTATAGCAAAAAAAACTACCTTTGGTCAACTGCTTCAGATTGTACCGTCTTTTCAACCTCATCAACCGTAGAATCAGATGCCAACTGGTTCCTTCTGAGCCATTGCTGTGTCTGTTGGTTTTGAAACAGCTGCTGCTGGTTCACCGGACCTCTCTGCACATACTGCTGTGGATTTCTCGGTTGAAAATTAGGGTTAGCGTTAGGGTACATGTGTCCGCCACCCCGGCCGCCGCCGCCGCCCATTCCCGGCGGTGGATATCTTCCTCTCGGATTCATAACCAATAAATAAACGGGATCTCAAAACAAAAACCCTAAAGAATATACTAATTGGAGCAACAAAAACCGTCCACAAAAGTATTCTAAAGCTTAAAATTCGATTAAACAAAAATGTACAAACAACAAAATTCTACCAAATTTGAAGAAATTGTGAAGAATTTTTGGCGAATTCGAAGAAATTTTAGAGAATTTTGATCTTGCGAAGAAAATGAGAGAAATGATTGCAAAAACGGTGGGCCTTAGGGCGCAAAACAGATTTGTTAAAATTGCAGAGAGGTCACTTTACTTTTTACCTTTTTATGGAACGGGCTGAATATTGGGTGTTTCGTGTGGGATCTATACTTTTTATATTGCAAAATAGTCCTTCCAATTAAAAGTAAAATACAAATCGAACCTTATTATTTATTTGTATTAATTATAATAATATAATCAAAACACAATTTTTATTTTTATTTTTATTTTGCTAAGATGGGGGAGGTTGTAGTAGAGAGAGCATATAGTGGCTAATTTAAAATAAAAGATTATGGTTGAACTACTATTAAATTATTACCAGTGTTTGATAGCTAGTTGAGCATATTAGGTACTCCACTTTAATTAGATAAAATATAATTATAATTGCAATTTATAATAAATCAAATAAAAATGATATATATCAATAATACCCCACCTAATATAATATACGATATATAATTATGATTTGAAATTATATTGATTTGAATTTAGAAGTTTTTGTTTAGTACAAGTAAACACACTTGAAAGAATAAGAAAGTTCTTGTCTCTATCTCTCTTTCTCTTTGCATTTATTGTTTCCTTTTATTTTATAATGAGAGAAGTATTGAGAACACCTTTAAATTAGGCGTGAATTATTAAATTATCTCTGAATTATTGACGGCCTTAAAAACACCATTTACTTGAATAAATGAACTTAAATACACCATCGATCTTGCAACATGAGTAAAATACACTCTTAAATTATCGTCAAGTTTATGGCGTTTTCAACATTCCTCTCGGCTTTTATTAAGAGTATATGCCCTACAAGAGTTTGAGACCACTTGCTATGTCTTGTTGCAGATCGGGTGTATATCTAAGTTTAGTTAGTCAAGTAGATAAGTGTTTTTAAGGCTGTCAATAGTTCGAGAACGAAACTAGTAATTTGCGTCAAGTTTAAGGGTGTTTTAAATATTTCCCTCTTTTATAATAGAACATATTTTTTGGGAGTTGTCTTAGAAATTGATATAGATAAGTTATTGTTTTTAAGTTAACACTTGATAGGTTTGTACCTGCTAAAAGAATAGCTAAGATCAAATTACTAACACTTGAACAAAAAATATACAAAAATAAAATAAAATAAACCGTTAATTCTCAAGTCCTCTGCAATAACAATAAAACTTATTTCTTCCAAATGTATAAGCAAGTGCATGTGGTCACACGTAATATACTAACTAAGCAGATATCAATCCCACATGGACTTGGTGTTATAGTTTATCCAATTCAACTATTATCAATTAATCACACAAATCCCCCCCCCCCCCCCCCTTTTTTTTTTTTTTTTTTTT